GATCTGTGCGGGGTTGCGGGGAGAAAAAAAAATCGTAAACAATTGAGATGTCTGAAACTCCAACGCCCGCAGATCGAGTATGTTTGTGGAAGTTTGCACCGTCTCGGCTCCCATTTACAAATTTCGTTTGACTTCGGTTACGGCAGTGCAAATTGTACATCGAAACGAGCCGTAATTGAAACGTTTCCAAAGAATCAAAGAGCTCCTTTTCTTTTCGTAGGTACACGATTTTTTTTTTTTTTTTTTTTTTTTTACAAAACAGCGCGTCAAATACAAGAGAGTATCCATTCGCGAAAGTAAACCGAAAAAAAAAGTCCCCGACACTACCACCCACGCGTCGCAGGCGCGAGCTAATAATCGCACCTTCGATTGTACCTCGGAGACAATCGTACCTATATATACACAAGAGGCGCGCTCGGACAACTCCCGATGCATCGAACGTCGCGCTTGATTAAATACCGAAAGCTCGGCTCTTCCACTACACGTGCACAGTAACGTCAAACCCGATATAACGAAGCACCGTGAGGTTATGCACCCCTGCGAGCTCTCCAAACTCGCGCTCAAAGCCCGATAGTCCTGTAACGTCGATACGTAAGCAAATTCACTTTCTGTAAGTCAAGAGCGCGCGCCTCACTGGATGGCACTTGGCTGGCAATCGGATAAGTCTAGGAGACGTATACAGGAACATCCGAGCTATCGAAATAGCCGGCAGTGCTTCCGTGGTTTTCCTTTTTCGTTGGACGCGATAGTGAAAGGTGTGTAACAAACAATATCGCGAAATCAAGCCAACGCAACGAAACGGTGTAAAGAGGAGGACGTCAGCCAAACGGGGGCATTTATATACATATTATGTATACGTGTATAGGCGCGGTAATTAAATTGGAAATAGGCCGTGTCCAATTTGGCACCGTATATAGCTCCCCCGTTGTTCTTCGCACCATCATCCCGGCGATATATATTGTGTAATAATTGAAGCAGCAGTCGTTAACCCGCATCAACGGGATCAGCAGCTGATTCATCGGACCCGCCCCTCTGCCAAATCCGCGCGCGTGTGTGTATGTATGTACCCACCCTTGATGTTCCCTCCACCCCCCCCCTTCTCGTTGTAACTGTACTCCCACGTGAGTGTGACCCCCTCTCTCTCTCGACGATGCAGCGGCTCGTTTGTCATGGGCTTGATATGTGTACGTGTAGACCCACTCTGTGCATACATTGCGCGTATCTGTATCAAAGTTGCGTGTGCGTGTATACACGTATATGCGGCTGATGTATGCGATAATCGCGAGCGGGTGCTTTGGGTAACGGGGATTTATGGGTTCATTATTTTTTGTTGTTGTTGTTGTGTGCATATACATTTCTTTGCAGAAATGAATGATTGCGATATGATTAAGAAGAACGAAAGATGAAATAAGATGTTGTTTGGAGTGTGGAGTTGTTGCGTGACTTTTTTTTTTGGTTTTTTTTTCCTAAATATATATATATATTCAGGGGGAAAAA